CGCGCCGCCTCACAGGTGCCTGACCGCTGTAGGAAGCGGCCAGCGCTGCGCCTGAGGCAAAGCCACGCGTGAGCCCCTGAACGCCTGAGAGCTGACTTCGTGCGCACAAGCGTTCAGGCTGATGTGGGCGGGGGGCAACAGGATCATCTCAGGTGAAGGGAGAGCAGACTCACCAGCTCACCAGAGGGACTCGTCAAAGCACTTGAGATGCTTTGAAACAGAAATAGCAGCCAGGAGTGACTGCAGTAAGTTGTTCAGTAGTTCATGGGCAACAATAATTTCCTTCTGTTACAAAGAGCATTCCATCCGTTAAATAGTGCTTTACACAAGTTTGCTTTGAGGTGAAATAGGTACACGGAATATTACTGAACGTGAGAGTAAAGTCAACAAGACATACTCTGTAAATGAAAGTCGGACTTTAAAGTGTTTTATTTGTCATTAAAAACTAGTAAAATTTACTTGAGAGGCAACAACATTAAATTCACTTGCAGCGGGCTGGATTATGCTATAGGAGGGCAACTAGAGGAGCCAGGTGAAGGTACATTTCTGTTAGTGTTTGGTCCTCTTTGGTAATACACAGAGACGGATCTGCCTTAGCCCTGTAAAGTATAGTGCAAATGACATGAGAGTTTCAATGTTTTACACTGATAAACATAGTTCTTCATTTTTAAGCATACGCATTTTAAACCTTATTCATTTCTCTTCCAGGCATAACGCCATCCAACTCAGTTGACTAAAGCAGAATCTGTACTCCTTAACCTGGAAATAAGATTAAAGGCTAAAAAAGGTAACAGGGCTCTCCCACGCTATAAATGAAAAGGACAGGGGCAAAATTGTATTGAAGGAGAAAGTAATTGTAAGATTTTTATGAGGTAGCTCTAGTCTTCACCCTTTTGGCCCAGGGCCTTTTTATCAGAGGGTGCATAGCTCTTTGTGATGCTCTCAAAGAAGGCCTTAGAACCTCATGGGAAACCACAAGCCTGATTTCCTGTACCTCCAGAAGGGTACTTTGTGTTCTTTCTCCTTTCCACGTATATATCACTACCATTAGCTGGCAAATGTTGTCACTGACATTTATAGTACACTAATGAGTCCCTTTGCATTCTTTAGGTGTCTGTACCCTCTTTTCAAGATAAAGCATGCTCTTGTGATGAAGAACAGTTGTAGTGGAAATCCCGGTGAAAAAATGTGAGCACTTCTAGTCTTGTTTCTTAAAATATTTGTAGGCTTAAGTGAATGCTTCATGTTCTGTCTTCTTTTCCCCAGGCGTCTTTTCAGCACATTGGACAATTTAATCCAAAACTTGTAAAGGGTCTGAAGCCTGAAAGATAGGACATTTCTACAAGTTACCTGAAAATAATTTTGAAAGTTAAGGAAAAGATACAAATTAGAAGGCAAAAATCCGTAAAGCATGTGCTGCTTCCAGCCTTCTTAGTGGTTACAGGAGTTAAGAACAAGCCAGGGATATTGTGGAGAGAAGTTGTCATTTTTAGAGCTTGTAATCAAAGAACGCCATATGTATTTTGGTACAATCAGTACATTTAACAAAGATGAAAGGAAGAGCACAAAGAAAAGAACTTTGGTATCAGGAAATGCTACATAGTAGTAAAATCTCATAGTACAAATAGTCAATACTTTGGATCTCTGGCCTCTGGTACTCAGCTGCCTGCCTTTGCTCAGGAAAGCCATGAAGCTGATCTGTGGCACTTTCCACAGTGGTGTACATGCTCTTTACTAACCAGAGTTTTTCCGTAATGAAAACACACACATCCGCTTTGAGTAGAGGCTCATTTGGTACTTGATGAAATACTGTTATTTAAAAAAGTTTAAAACTAACAGCTTTCTGGGTTGTTTTCTAAGGATCCATGACTAAAAGAGCTCTCAGAAACAAACACCTCTTTATGTAGCAATTAGCACAATCATAAAGATAAATACATTTTCCACTACCGCAACAGTGCCCAATATTACTGATTCAACACTGTAGAAGCAACACCTAATACTCCAAAAAGTATAAACACTGAAGTAGCAACTAGAAGCATGCTGATCTTGATATTGGGTGTAGGTGGAGTGCAAACTGAGAAATGGATACCACAGATCTCTAATGAGCATACTGGGAGTGCAAAAAGAGAAAGGGCAGTACAGTCTGTGCATCCCCTAAATACTGAACTTCTGTCACATCTCTTGTCTGTGGTATACATTGGTGGGTGAGACTGGACACACTTGTAACTATTTCCTTAATTTTAAATTAAGGATACATGTATTTGACAAAAGGTTGGTGCTTCCTAAATTCAAGTTTGACCCTATGTCCTGGAGGGCTGAATCCTAGAATATTTCACAGAGCATTGCACAGATGTCTCCACTGGTATTACATGCAGAGGTTTGACCCAGTGAAGTTATTAGGGGATTGGTCTTGATACAGCTCATTTTACTACCTCTCATATTCATGCCACTCACATCTCTAACTCAAGAATAAGGGTGTCTGCATTTTGCTGTAGTTTATACAGATTAAACACAGCATTTAATGTGATCTCAGAAAGTGGTACAATGTTTGTTTACACTGAGTTTAGAAGGCAAATGGAACGAATGTCCTTCCCAGGCATAGAAAAAACCTCCTTGTTAAGGCTGGTAGGTGTTCAAAGCTGTAATTTAGCCTTAGTTGAATATCTGGCACTACTCCTGGTGCTGACAGATAGTAATGCAGGGGGGCTAAGGCATGCTTTCACTGAGGAACCCCAGTGAACTCCATCGGAAGTACAACTCTCAAATAAGCTTTAAAGGTCTTTAGAGGTTTGTAGAATGATTTAAAAGGTAGAATGAACTTCTTAGTACTCTGCAGCTGCATGGTGTATAATATAGTTCATACAAATAGTATCCAAATATATTTCACAAAAGGTTTATAATTGTCACTGTGATGGCTAAGGGGGATTTGACAAAGGCTATATAACAAGGCCGGCTTGGTTCTGAAGAGTGGTGACAGAGAACTGAAGCAACTCCCATCCTAATGTAGTCACGTTCAAAGTTGATTTATGAACAAATAAAAATATGTAGAGAAACAGTAGCATTTTTAGAAAAGGATTTGAAATCAGGTAGAAAATATGTAGAAACATTAGGCTGTTAATAGGACAGTGCTGCACACAGTGACAGCTAGAGTGGAGAGGAGGGGGCTCTTTAGATGGGAGCGGTGAAGGTCGTTTCTTACAGAACTGCTTTAGTGCAGGCAATGATAGCGGCAGTGCAGAAGAGATGCATGCTATTGGATGTAGCCTTGGTATTACCTGAACTGTAGTTGTTGACTGCAGTTAACGGCATGAAGCCTTCCACAGCCTCTGTGGTTACATTAAAAAAAAAAAAAGAAGCTGAGGTGATACATAAAAATCTTCAGCTAAAAAATTTGCAACACAGATTAGATTCGAGAAAGAGACATATTTCTGTAAAAATAACAAAAAGAAACTCTTAACATGTTTCTGCTAACAACAAAGGATATTCTGAGGTAAACAGAAGAGTGAACAGATTGTCAGTGGTACCGAGATGAAATGTAAGCTAAATACCGTCTCAGTGCCCTGTTAATGGGGCGACTCACCACTAGTGAGGTAACTACTAAAAACATTTCTATTTCAGTTCTGAAGTCAGATCCCTGCGCAGAGGCCTGCAGGGTCTGTGTTGTTTACAGCTATTCTTCTGCCAATCCCATGAAAGCCTGGCTTTCATTCAGTTGAACCCATGCTTGGGCACAGTAATTTTGTATAAGCAACTAAACATCTTTTCCTAACCAAGTATAATACTCCCATTTGACACTTCAAAATTAAAAAAAACCAACACTGTATTAGAAGGAAACTCTTTTGAAAATATGGTTCACATAG